TTCATGGAAATAAGAAAGCAGGTAGCTTCCAGGGGCCATCCATCCATGGGGATACCTAAATGGGGTGCCTGCCTTGCTCCTGTGGTTGAGTAATGACAGAATGAACAGATTCTTAGTAATGACAGATGCCCAGGCCTCTGTTCGGCACCGGGGCCCTTCGTGCAGGGATGAGAGCAGACCAGCAGATCTTCTATTTGTCCTCCCACTGAAATTACAAGAAGGTTGACAACCAGTCAAACTCTCCTCAGATCCTCTGAGATCTAAGGAATGTTTACCTCTAAATGTTACTTCATCTCTTTTCTTAAACTTGGAGGAATCTTTCGGGGGGAAATATCTTTTGTGGTGAAGAAATGTATATGACATTCAAGAATCTCCTCAGTTTTTACTTCAAATTCATTTTCTTCAATTAGAGTCAAGTAAAATTAAATCTTCACTAAAAAGTAGGCATATGGTACAATCCCATTTTTATGAAAGTATTTCTATCTTTCCTTCTATCTGTAAAAATGCACAGAAATATGTCTAGCGTGCTGTACCAGAAATGTTAATGATGGTTATATTTGAATCATGAAACTTGAGGGAATACTTTTATTTTATTTTAGTGCTCTCTGCAATGCTTAAACTGTTTATAGGGAGCATATACTATTTTCACAGAAAGAATAAAGTAAATTTTCTTTTTTAAAAAACTTGACATCTTGCCAAGAGTCCTCAAAGTTTATAGCTTTCATTTCTACTTTCTTCCTCCAGTTCCCCTCAGGCTCTGCCGTTTTCCCCTCTCCTCCTTTGCATCTCCCACCTTTCTCCTTCCCCTGCTTTTTCTAGATCTAACCACTCTCTCCCAGCTTGAGAATGCCCCATCTCTTCATCCCTCACTGGCCTACAAAAGCAGAAGTGGTGGATTCCTCTCCTCCTCCTCCTCCTCTTCCTCCTCCTTCTTTTCTTTGTAGAACTTGGGCTGGGGACATTTTCTAAAGATTTTGAGGCACTTGGCAATTCCTCCCCCCTCCCTATAACTCCTCACATCAGCAGAAGAGGCAAGAGTAATAGGGTAGAGCAGGCCAATGGCACTGGAGCGCTAGCCCAAATGTTGCTCTAGGGCAGCATTCACCCATGGAATTCTAGGGAATGGAAGAACTTTAATCTTGTTCCTGATTCCTTCTCATCCCCAAGTTTTTCCCCCAAAACTTTTGCCCAGTACATCACCAACTTTCTCTTGGATGTTGAAGTTCTGTCTCAAGGACCTGCTCAAATGGGAGAAGGCATCCTTCAACAGAACTTCCCTTGTGACAGGATTATTCCCCTCCTCCCCATGCTAGGATTGGGGAACCAGAAAGCACAGAAGCCTGAACCACCCTCTTGCAAGCTACTGGGACTCATAGTTTGGTAAGAGAGAGCCAGCCCCACATAGACAGCCTAAAGACTATTTTGTGATTTTTCACAGGACCAATGCAAGGGACCAATGAAAGGATGGAAGTAGAGCTAGGAGGTTCTTTAAACAAAGCCACAAGAGGAAAACCCACCCCTCAGTCTAAACTCTGGCTACCCAAGCAAAATATCTGGTAGTCACAATCATGGAAAATTCATTCACCATGTTGGATAGCTCTGAGAGAGATCTCAAAGCTTGACATCCTTCATCCCCAGTCCCCAGAAGGAGCAGGGATTTCCTTAGAGGACTTCAAAACTAGCATATTCAGACTCAGCAGGGACCCCATGCCCTTATCCCTTTCCCAGGCAGACATGCTAGGGCTTTGAAAGATACGGATTTGTGGCATTGGAGGGAAGGATAGCTAGCGATAAATCCAGGTCACCCAAGATTGGGAGGAGGACTTGGGGTCAGGGAGCTAGTGGGGCCTCGCCTTTGTCATATAGGATAAGGATTGAGAGTTTAAGAGTGAAGGCCAAGATGATACTGCCTACCACACCATAAAGTTTAGGGAGGAGTGGTCATGTAATATGAGGGTAGCAGCCATGGAAGTCATGCCCACAAATGTGGAGGCAAAAGGAAAGGGGTAGGGCAAGCAGACAGGTGGATTGGTCCTTAGGAATTCTTTACCCACTTCCCTTACACCTCTCCCAACCCCTAGATTTCTGGCTCTTCCCCTTATATGGCGACAGGGATAGAAGCAGATTCTTCACCAAATGCATTTTGTACCTTTTTATCTGTGAACCATGTTCATTACTACTTTTTAATATTGTAAGGAAAATACTCCTAAGCCATGCAAAGAATGGTTTCTTTCTGAGTATGAGGGGATCAGAACCCCAACTTGGCTTCTCCAGTTGTTAGGGATAACTAGCAAATGTTCCCTGGTCGAGATTCACAGGAAGGCCCAGAAAAGGCCATGCTGGAAGCAGGGTCCAGGGCTACCTATGCCATGGGCAATAGCATCCTGGTGTCCAGACCCAGGGAACTGCATCAAGGCCTGAGTTATATAGGGTTGTCATCAACTAGCATGGATTCTTAGCCATGTGTAAGATGGAAGTCACACATGGGCTGGTTCTTGAGCCTTCTGACAACCATTATCCATCCTCTTCTCCAGGGCTTTCTAAAGGGAAGGGTCCCCGTAGGAGCTTTCAAGATGTTACCAGTCAGCTGGGGATTTAGCTCAGTGGTTCTGCCACCTGCTTTGCAAGCGCAAGGACCCAAGTTCGATCCCTGGTACCAAAAAAAAAAAAGTACATAAAAAGATGTTGCCAGTCAGCTGATGGCTCTTGCTCAATTCATATACACATCATGAATTGGCAAAGTGTAGATCTTTTAAAGTTAAATGATAGCCAGAGACTATCAGTTCCTAGGTTTGGTGGCCCAGCTTGCCACTCAGAGCCAGTGGCAACCAATAAGCTTCAGGAATTCTTCTGGCCACTAAAGATGGCAACTCCCAGCAACTCTGCATTACTCTCTGCCATTCTCTGCTGCTAGCCACCTTCAGTGCTGCCAGTTGCAGATCCAGGCTGTTTTAGGTGCCAGCAGCCTCTGATCTTACCAGTCATTAGTATACCAGCTCATCCTGCTCTACTCAAGACAGAAATCACAAATATTCAAAACTATGCCATCTGGAAGAGGCTTTATTAGGACTTATGCTGCAGCATACAGGGGAACAGTGAACATTTGAAACCTCTAAGGGGACTGAAGGGTGGCTTAAATAGGGAAAAATAGGCAGGCTAATATGTCCAGTGTCAGACTTGCTGTTTGGTCATGAATAAGGGAGGGGCCCTTGGAAGACCTAACTGAGGAGAGCTACAGAGAGACAAATCGTCCAGAGAAGTTGTAGGGTGGAGTCATTCAAAGCTTTCTCCAGCTAAAACAAATACCTCTGGGAAAAACCCTGGGACACCCGATGAAGCTAGGCTGGCTGCAAGATATTTTGTTGTTGTTGTTGTCATTTAGTGCATGTTTGTAATACAATATAGCGATGCTTATTTTGCAGAACATGCATATAACATATCTTGACCATTTTCAATCACTTTAATCCCCTCTCTTCCTCTAGTCCCCATTTCCCATCTCCAATAGTTATCTTCTAGTTTCCTGCATGGCATTTGAGGCAGCCACAGAAGAAAAATGAAAAGTATCTCTTAGAGAGCGTCAGGCCCCTCTCCTGTCTCTGGGCCAAGAAGCTGGAATAGAGACCACTCGGACAAGAGTGCCAAAATTGGCAGAGAAAATACAGGATACTTAGAAAAATAAAATCTTTTAGTGTAAGTACATCCTAAATAATGTGTGAGACAGAAGTAATCAAAAAAAGTACTTGCTGTCTATGACCTTTGTAGTTAACTGAGCATTCTACATTTTATATGTCATCCCTACATCCCAGATGTTGGCAGAGGAGGAGAAACTCTTCTGCAATTTTTCTTTTTTCTATTTTATTTTATTTTTCTGTGTCTATGTTTTAAATTATTAACCCAAACTTTCACAGCCTCATCAGCCTGCAGACGCAAATGAAAATAATAAGTGTTTCTGGCTGCCCATCTCCAACTGTGGGCCCTCAACCTGCTCAGCTACCACAGCAACCTCCTGACGCTGTCATATTCCTCTGGTTCAGCGCCCACTGTCCTCTAGGCCACAGGAGGGCGGCAGTAGTCGGCCCTGAGCCATGTGGCTGAGGCTGGGCCTTGGCGCCCTCTGCTGGTGAGCCCCCGTAGCAAACATGGAAGATGCCCAAAGACTTTGGGCTCTGCTGCTGGTCCATACTTCTTGCCTGGCTCAACAGCAGAGGGCTTCTTTAGCCGCCTTCCCTGCTTCATCCACCTTCCTCCTCACGAGCTCAGCCTGGTTTTGTACGTGCCATGTGAACAGATGACATCGGTCCCATGCCTCCTCATAGTCCCCTCACACTCAATACTCTCCCTGGCTCTGTGTTGACCAACAGTTCCTCCAAATGCCAGGTGACCAGCCATGGAAAAGTCCACCATTCTCTGGGGTCACAGTCAGCCCACACCACCTGGCAGGCAGGGCCTCTGGGAAACCTTCCCCTGGACTGGCAGATGAAGCTGGCCATGTAAAACTCCTCCTCTCACCCAAGGAGTGTCTTGGCCAGTCTGCAGGGATCCTGTTACGGTTTAGATCTAAAATGCCTCCCCAAACTTCATGTTCAGAGGTGGGCCTGGGCAGAGGGAATGGGTCACTGGGGATGTGACCTGGACAGGTATATTCTTGTCCCATATTCCCTTCTTTCTCAGCTTTCTGGCTGTCATGGCATAAGCAGTTTCTTCCAATGCTGTTCTGCCTTGGCGCAAGCTACACATGGACTGAATCCTCTGAAAAGCAGGAGCCAAAATAAACTTGAATTTGCAGGTGTCACATATTTTCTTGTTCCAGTGACAGGAAATCTGGCTAATAAGGGAGGATGGTTTATTCATTTTAAATCTCTCCGTCAGGCAGGACTGGGTCTGTCTTAATGGCTGCCAGCACCAGATAATGAGCAAGGTCCACCAACAGCAGCAGAATGAAAGTTGAGGGACTAAGGAGGCATGAGGGGCTTCCCTGGGTCAAGTGGAAAGAGCAATTGTTTAAAATAAAGACACTTTATTTACAGATAATACAAAATAAACCACAAGACGAACTACTGTGCAGAGGGAGGAATGGCCCCCACAATAACCACCCTTCCCATCCCAGAGTAACTTATATAAAAAATTTAAAAGGCCCTAGGAGGGGGGAGGGGCTGGGCTGGAAGCACCTTTGCTGACTGGGGGTTTGGGGCCCATAGTCTTCAACCACCCCTTTCCAGGGCAGAGTGGACCCTGGCTCTCTCCTCTCTGACCCCTGGGCCTGACAAGCAGGGGACACAGCTGAAGGGCAGTTGGTGGTGATGAGAGAGGCTCTCCAGCTAAGGACCCTGACTTCTGACTTGGAAGGGGTAGGTGAGTAGGTGGGTATGACCTTGAGGGCAGGCATGGGGTGGTGTTATTGCAGTGCTCCAGCCGACTTCCTCCTGGCTATGGACTTGGGTCTGCACTGGGTTCCAGGAAGCAGCCACATCAGGGCAAGATTACAGTATCTTCAAAGTGATGACGTTGTTGAGTCCACCACTTCTCGGCCATTGCAGACAGTGGGGACAAACTGGGAACCAGATCCTAGGGAAAAGAAGCTGAAGGTTAGGGCTGAGGTCTCCCATGGAAGGCAGGCAGCAGGGGAGGCAGGACAATAGAGGGAAATGTCCCCTTAATGTCACCCACTTATATCCAGCTCATTTTGAGGACACCCCACCTCCAGACAAGGAATCTCAGCAACCTGAGGAATGGATCATGCCTGGCGAGCTGGAGTGGAAGGGGTCCCAGGTATAGAGGTGAGCTTAGGATGCTGACCTTGGCCAACGCTGGAGCTGGCCCTCGTGGTGGCACTGCCAAAGCGGCTGGTGGGTGCCCGGTGGCTCACCACATTCTTCTGTGGCTGGAAGAGGATGATATGTAGCTTGGGTGCGAAGAGGCAGCCCAGCACCACAGAGCCACTGAGGCTGACTGACACGCACATGGTGGTGGTCTGAACCTGCAATGGGTGAGTGGGTGAGCAGGTAAGGATTAAGTGTGTTCATCCCAAAGGCCTGGTCCTGGCACCAGGACCCCCTTCCTAGGTTCTTCAGGGAGGAAGTGGAGGAGAAGTAATCATCCACTGGGCTTTGGTCCATTTGCCGAGCCCCAAAGGATTCCTAGAAGTATGGGCACAGTCCCAGCATCAGCCCCAATGGACTATTTTCCAGGGACACCAGAGTCCCAGCTGTGGAAGAGCACATGCAGGGGTGCACATAAGTATAGGCGTTTGTGCATGTGTAGAGAGGTAGAGGTATGGAGTGCATGCATGTAGATGCATGCATCTCTGTGTGGGTATATGTATGTGCAACAGTGAGTGCACACAGGTGTATGTGCAAATGTTTGAAGGTAAGTGTGGAATCTATAGATAAGGATATATGTGTAGGCAGGGAGATGTGTTTGTACCAAGTGTGCAGAATGTGTACACAAATATATGTGTGTGCAGGGATGTGTGTCTACACATGTATAGGTATACATGTTTGTGCCCAAGTGTGTACCTGCATGGGTAGTTAAATAATGTGTGTGTAGGCCCTGGGTAAGTCCTTAGCTGTCTGTGATTGGCAAGAAAATGCAAATAATATGCAAATATGGACTAAGTCAGAGCAGATTCCCTCTCCAAACCTGGCCTCCACCACCCAAGCAGGTGGCTCAGCAAGTGCAAGCAGAGCAGCCAAGCATGGTGGTCCCTGGCTCATCAGCACCTTGCCACTTCTGACCTGGGAAAAGGATCTTTGCCAGGGCTTTTCCACAATTTTTCTGCTCCTTTAACTGTTAAGATTGTCAGCTCAGACCCTATACTACCAAGCTGAGTGACCTTGAATAAGGGATTGACTGTCCTGACTCTGTTTCTTCATCAGTAGAACAAGAGAGTGGTGGAGCTCATTCTAGAATATGAGGATTAACCCAGATGATCCTCAGCATTCTGAGCTCAACTCAACAGTCACCTCCTCAGATAGCCCTCCCCTGAACACCCCATCTAAAGTAGCCATTGCCCCTTGCAGCTGCGGACACCCATTGAGACACTCAGTGCTAGCTGGAGCCAGATTTGCTTGGAAGCAACTGAGTACAGTTTTCACCTGCTTAAACCTTTCTCATTCCTACACCCTGCATCTCCTCTTCCTACTCTTTGCTTTGCCTTTCTGCTTTCCTTCATCTGTACCCCCTTTCCAGCCAGCTGCTCAAGTACAGCAAGGCAAAGCCCCTACTCATTGGGACACATTCTGCATTCCCATCTCCTCCCAGATTATGGGGGGATGACTAAGTCTTGACATCTCCTCTTATCTCTCTCTAACTTGGGTTCCCCATGTACCTGGCCATTTCCCTAAGTCCTACTCAGCCCTCTCACCTTCCCCCAGTGTACACACAAGCTGTGGGCCCAAGTGAGCATTTAACCTCTTAGAGCTTCATTTATCAGTAGACCAAATGAGACACCAGGAAACCAAGGGTCCAGGGTCTCACCCCTCCCTCCCTCTTCTGTGGCAGGTGGCTTACCCGATAGTCACTGGAGGTGACATAGAAGATGGGCAGGAATGCCAACCAGATGATGCAGGTGGTATACATGGTGAAGCCAATGAACTTGGCCTCGTTGAAGTTCTCGGGGCACTTGCGGGTCTTGAAGGCATAGAGCGTGCACAGCGCAATGAGGAGCACATTGTAGGCCAGTGAACCAAGCATGCTCGCATCTCGGTGGTTACAGCGCAATGTCACCACCTCCCGCCTTTCAGGTGCTGTCTCCTTGCCTATCCCTGGTGCCTCTACCACCAGCCAGGCAGCCACGATGAGCAGCTGCCCCGAGATAAGTGCCAAGCAGATGGCCACCTGCGAGGCGGGGCTGATGAAGCGCGGCCGCTGGGCACCCTCCCGGGCCCCGCCAAAGATACGTGCAATGCGGTTGGTTTTGGTGAGCAAGGCTGAATAGCAGACAGAGAAGGCAGTGCCCAAACCAAGGCGCCGTAAGGTGCACACTGCCGTGGAGGGCTTAGCAATGAAGATGAAGGTCATGCAGTAGCAGAGGAAGACACCACCCAGCAGGATGTAGCAGAGCTCCCGACCAGAGGCCTTAACCACAGGCGTGGCATTGTGCCGCACAAAGACGCCCAGCACAAAGAGGGTGGCCAGAGCACCCAGGCAGGCAATGGTGACAGGTCCTACAGCCCAGGCATCACCCCAGTGGATGTACTCCTGGGGCAGCTCGAAGCAGCCAGTCAGGCTGGCATTGGGCCAGTAGCCGAGCCCACAGTCTGCACAGGTGAACTCGTCCAGCCGGTACTCGTAGGGCTGGCAGGGGATGCAGAGCCAGCAGCACACCTCACCCGGCTGCACACTCTTCACCTCGTTCTGGAGGCAGGGCTCACTACAGCGAGAAGCAGGTAGGGGGCCAGCCAAGGGGGCAGCCCAGGGGATGAGGCTGGTATCAAGGCTCAGGCCTTCTGCCCAGTAGCCCACCTTCTGGTAGCGGTAGCGCCCACTGCCTGCCCGCAGGTAGGTGAAGATATTGTAGCGGCCAATGCCATCACCAAAGCGGTCGAAGCGCACCTCGTTGTCAGTGTCAGTGGGGCGGAAGGGGGCTGGGATGGAGAAGGAAAGAAGAAAGGGTTGGACTGGTGGGTTACCCTGATGTGACCTCAACCCTCACACTCACATGGAACACAAACCCAGAGCTAAGGCCACCACTAGCTCTTCCAATCCTTCTGCCAACCCTAAAGCCCATCCTGACCCCAACCAGCCTTTTTCCTTCCCTTCCTTCCTTCCTTTTTTCTTTCCTTCTTTCTTTCTTCCTTTTCTTTCTTTCTCTTTCTTTTTTTCCTTTTCCTTTCTTCTTTTCCTTTCATATCTCTCTCTTTCTCTCTCATCTCTTTTTTGGCAAGTACTGTGTATCAAACCAGGGGTGCTCTATCACTGACCTATATCCCCAACTCCTTTATTTTGAGGGAGGGTCTTGCTAAATTGCAAACTAGCAATCCTCCTGCCTCTGCCTCCCTTGTTGCTGGGATTACAGGCATGTGCCACTGTGCCCAGCTCTAGCCATTTTTCTAAAAGTGAGGTTACAACAAATTCTTACCCCTAAACTCCAACATCAAACCTCAGCCTTTACCAATCCTAAGCCTCAAATATAACTCAAGCCTTAAAGCCTAGTCCTGTACCAATCCCCAACCATGACTTACTAAACTCAACCTTACCTAGTCTCTGACACATTCGAACCTGGGCACCAAACCCTAACTTAATCACAACACATACCACAGCCCTCTCCCCAAATGTGACAATCCTATTATGGTACTCCTACCAACAGCAATCCCAGCTCTAGCCCTAACCCTGATCCCAGTGCAGACTGAACTTCAGCACTCCCCTGCAGCCACTGCTTTCCACAGAATGGTCATGGCCACTCTCCAGCCCAACTCCATCTCCTTCAGAGCTCATACTGCCCAACCAGGCTCAGGAGCCAGGGCCACAGCCACGTCTAGTCCCAGTGAGAACTCAGGGTTCAAGCAGGAAATGATATGATTAAGGCCCCTTGGGTCAGTAGTGCAGCCTGGATTCAAACCCAAGTCCCACCAAGCCCTTTTTTTCCCATCCAGCCTCAAAGTTCTCAATATCTAACTCTATCCCAACCATAAATTTCACCCATGCCTAGCCCTAACATCAATTTAATCACACCCTTGACTCAAACCCCAATCCCACCCAGATTCTATAGCTCTGAATGTCAATCTTATTGGAATTATAGTTGGTACAGGCTCCTCAGCTTCAGTTACCCAACTCAGAATAAAATTTTTTCTTTAGCTTTTTGTTTTTCTGTTTGTTTGGGGGTTTTTATGAGATAAGATCTAGCTATGTAGTTCAGGCTGTGCTTTAACTCACTATGTAGCCCAGGCTGGCCTCAAACTGGCAATCCTCCTGCCTCAGCCTCCTGAGTGTTGAGATTACAAGTGTGTACCACCATGCCCAGCCAGAAAAATTTTTTTAAAAATTACTTAGACCACAACGCTTGAGTCTATACCTAACATGTACAAACTTATTTTCTTATCATTTTTCCCAAAACAATATAGTATAACAACTATTTACATAGCACTTAATTGTTTTAGATATAATAAATAATCTAGAGATGATTTAAAGTATATGGGAAGACAGCTACAGGTTATATGCAAATAAACCATTTCATTTAGGGCATGAGCCTCCTCAGACTGTGGTAGCCATGGGGGTCCCAGAAACAATCTCCATGGATACTGAGGACAACTGTCCTCTTGGTCTCAACCCTGTGACAGTGCTTCCAAGGTCTTTCAGTCTAGGCACCCTCTCCCACTGTTCTACTTGTCTTTCCGAAGCCTAATGATGATTCTGAAACACTCATTCTTAAAATGGGCAGTTTGACTTTTGATTTGAGGATACTTTAGATGGAAAATCAACTGGGTTTCTCTTCCCTAAGAGCTTCATCTGATGCTGACTCTCAACCCACCCTGATTTGGACTCTACTGCTGCCTGAGAATAGGCTTGCGGTCCCCTGGCCTCTGCCCTCAGCAAGAGAAGGAGTCAGGAGATAGAGGGCCAGGTCCAAGGAACCAGAAACCCTCTGAGCAGCAGGACCAGGTCAGACACTACTCTAGAAGGATCTCAGAAAGCAGAACCCCAGGCTAGGATTCCTCCCTGCCTAGTATTCCCTGTCCTGGTTCTGACATCAACACCCTGATGGAGTCCTTCACTTGCACTATGCTGTGTTTTCTTAGCCAAGTAATGGAACATGAAGCCCTGCTCCTTCCATCCTCTGAGGGTCAGCAGGATGATGGACACTGGCCAGCTCTATTACCATCAAACTTGACATTGAGCACGAAGTCCTTGTAGAGGCGGCGCCCGTTGACAGGTCGCATGGCATCACAGAGGTGGGTGGTGTTAGGGCAGAGGGTGCGGTGCATGTTGTGCAGTGCATGGGCCATGGCATATACTGCATTGACCACAAACATGATCTTAGACTCCTGTTCAAAGGGCACAGCCTTCAGGGAATGGGTGGCACAGTCTCGCTGCCGGAAGCTACAGCGGAATCTCTGCTCCCAGAACTCACGGAACCAGGGGTTCCGACTGTTGTTCCAGGGGTCCAGGCTCCGGAAGTAAGAGGCAAAGTCACTGATGGGGTAGGAGGCCAGCTCAATGGTAATGGCACCCTCAGCTGCCCCCTCACTGCCTTCCACAACACTTTCCAGGGCCCCCCAGCCATCACTGGCCACCCAGGTGAAGCTGGCGTTGAGGCGCTGTGTTGCAGCGAGCAGCTCACGGGCATCCTCAGAACGGGTAAACAAGACAGCAACACGAGCACTGGGTTTCTGCAGTAGGGCTCGAACCACCCCCTCAAAGGCAGAACGACTCATGGCACGGCCCACCTTCTCTGAGGTCGCCACGCAGATGTTTCGGGCACGGGCCTCTATCTCAAAGGCCTCAATGCCTGTCTCACCATAGTCACCCTCAGAAGCCACAGTGGACACATAGGTCCAGTTGAAGAAGCGGAGGATCTCAGCCATGGCCTTGGCTTGGAAGAAGTCAGGGGGCACTGTGCGGGCAAAGTAGTCATAGCGGGACTTGTCACTCAGCTTGGCACTGGTGGAGGCATAGCTGATCTGTGGGATCTGAAATAGCCGCAGGAGGTTGGCCACCTGGTTGAGGAGTGAATAGAAAGGGCAAAGATTAGGACTAGGTCAAACAACCACCAGAGACAGACGAACCTCCCACCACTAGCAAAGCTTAGGATCAAGTGTCTATAGGGTCAGCCCAAAAGTCCCCTGTCTCTAAAGACCTTCACATAAACTTGATGAGTTTTCTACCTGAGGTTTCTGTCTCTTCCCAAGGGCTGAGAGTGCAAGGCCAGTGCCAAGCCCTGGGGTCCTGAATCACACCTGCAACAGACACATGGCAAAGGAGCCAAGGAAGGCACGGGGTAGATAGAAGTTGGCACTCGGTTGCACCAGGGACAGAGGAAAGCACTAGGTGGCATCTGGGATACCTAAGACTCTCAAGCTCTGTCCTTGCTTGGAAGTAGGAAACACTTCCCTAGCATCAATCCTGATGGAATGATGTGGAAAGAAGGAAAAGGCTCCCAAGAAGAAAGACACAGATCCAAAAGCCCAGTGGCCCTGGCCATCCAAGGCTCGGTCTCCACTGGATATCTAAGCCTGGCATTTAAAAAACCTCTCTGCTCCACCACTTACTGCCTGCCAACCCATCTTCCACCCTCCTACCTCTTGAGTAGAGTCCAGCCAAAAACTTGAAAGATGGTAGGTAAGAGAAAGCAGGGCATGGCCACAGGAGAGGTTTAAAACCTCTGCTGTTAACTAGGATGTAGGGTCTGACTCAGACAGTATGAGGTTCTCATGCCCTCTCCCTCACTTTCTACCTCTGTACCCCTACAATTAGAAAAATCTCCTTGAGTCTCAGCTTTTCATCCCTACCTTATAAGTCTGCTGAGCAAATAAAAAGTGGTAATGCATAGGAGACCACAGTGTCTGGCACATGGAAGCTGATGGGAATTGGGCAGGCAAAAGGGGGCAAGAATGAAGAGGAATCATGGACAGACAGGTGGAGTCTAAGGTTGAAGGGATGGGCCTTGTGCTGTGCAAGACAGGGAAAAGTAGCTTGATGCTGAGGTGTGGGCCCTGCTATAGGAAGCGGGCAGCTTGGCATGGGAAGGAGGTAATGGGACTGTTGTAGAAAAATGCAAGGGGCCATGAAGAAAACTGTGGAGGGCAGAGGTGCAGAGAAAGGTTCTCCAAAGCCCCTGAGACATCAGCAGCAGGAAACTGCAAACCCACCCCCACCCCAGGGCTGCAGATGGCAATGCTGGCAGAAACACCCATAGCTGGGACTAGCAGGACAGATAATCCAGGCCTCTCCTATCCCACAACCCCTATTCTGCTTCATTTCTCTAAAGTCAATGTTCTCTGTAGCTTCTTAAAGGAAGCTGAAGCCCCATCCAAGGCCTCCCTTCCGGCCCTCAGCCTGGATCTCAGTTCTGGCCTCATCATCCAGCTACCTGCACTGGGCACCAGCAGGCAAGGAACTGGGCAAGAGCTGGGACCCAGTCAAGGAGCAGGAGCATCCCACCTGGGCCAAAGAAGCAAGCAGTACCCAGGGTATAGCCAATAAACAGCAAAGGGAAGTCAGCTGGGCCAGCACCTGCTGAAGCTCAGTAACAGGATACCCTCTGCTGACCCCTTGTGGGAGAGGTGGAGGTTCCCTCGCCCCCTCAAATCCTATACCTCCTGAAGACCCTGAGGTAGACTCCTTTGAGCCCCATGCACATTCTACTTCTTTTCCTCTTAGATTCCCTGTCTTGTTTTTTTTCCCCCATGGCCATTCTTGGCTTTTATTTGTCTACCCCTCTCCAATCCAGGGAGAGATAGTCAGACAGACTGGGCTGAGAGTTCTGACTTCAGCTTTCCTTTTTGCCACTACTTTGATCTGCTTTTCTCTCTTATGATCTGCTTTTCTCTGAGCCTCAATCTCTTCACCTATAGAAAGGGTTAATACTGTAACAGCTAATATTGAAGGTGCCTTTATGACCTGCCAGGCCTTCTGATTATGCTTTGAATGCATTGCCTCGTTAAATTTCCACTACAAACCTAAAGGGAGAAAGTGTTCTGAATCCCATTTTATAAGGAGGAGATAATCTGCCCAGAGCCATGCAGTTAGTATATGGAGAAGCCAGGATCCAAACCCACACACAGCCTGAGTCTAGAAGCCTGGCTATTAAGCCTTTCAGGTTGTTTAACATCAGGGTGTGTGCGTGTGTGTGTGTGTGTGTGTGTGTGTGCACGCGCGCGCGTGTGTGTTGGGAGTGAGATGCTTCTTTTTTTTTTTTCTTATATGAGTTTCTCTTACACAACCTCTAGAAATCAGCCCCATTGTGTGTTGGGGCACTTTCTTATTCTTCTATAAAAAGTTACTGAAAGGAAGCTGCTGATTCCCTTTCAGTGGATGGTACCTGAAGCTCCTGCACAGCAGGAGTTCTGGGGCACCACCTCTAACCTCTGTCCCCACAGCCCTTTTGAGTGGCTTCTACATACCTGGATGGAGACATCACTGTAGGAGCCGCCAATGACGCCAGTGATAGCAGTGGGAGCATCACCATGGGTAGCATAAGAGCCATCAGGACAGATGTGGCGTGAGCCATCGGCACCACGACTCAGTGAGGCACGCACAAAGTCCAGTGCCTGCTCCAGGGCATGTGTGTCCTTGGAGCAGCTATCAAGGATATGTGCACCTAGATGCACGCCGGGCAGCAGGTGGGGGTCTTGGTTGATCCGATCCAGTGCAAAAAGCATGGCTTCCAGGCGCTGGATGCCACGATGCTCATTGACAGGACCACACTCCTCTGCTGGGCCACCCTTCTGGTGCACTGGGAACAGCCCACCCAGCACCAGGTCACCCTCCAGGGTCAGCACCTTCTTGGCTGGGCCCTCAGCCACAGCACCCCACAGCAGCAGCAGTGCCAGGAGCCCAAGCAGCAATCCCATGGCCCCAAAGGGGATGAATGGGTCCAGCAGACCTGGGTCTCCAGGGAATGAGAGTAGAAGCAGTGAAGGCAAAGAGAGGAGGGACAGGGGCCAGGAAAGGACAGACAGGAAGAGAGATGAGAAGGGACCCAGCTCCTGCGGAGAGATAGACAGACAGAGAGACAAGGAAAGTGGAACCTGAGAGCAGCCCCCCCCCCTATTTTTTCCAGCTTCCCCTTCTGTCTCCACCTCTCCCCACACACCTTTCCTGGTACCCAGGATCCATGGAGAAGGTAGTGTCACTATGCTGAAAAGTTCCTGGGACACCGCCCTCGGTCTATTTCACAGCCTTACCCTGACCTAGGGTAGAGATGGGCCCTAGTAGCCTATCAAACTCAGCAGAGGGGGAGGGAGGCAGGGAGTGGAAGCCCAGGCAGAGGACAGGAGACTCCAGCAATGCCAAACCCTGTGAAAGTCAAAGGGTACCCAAGACCCTGCACAAACCTCACAGAACCCCAGACCAATACCTGAAGCCAAGTCAGAGTTACAAACTCAGGGCTCTCGTCCCCATCCTGAGCCTTAGATTTCAGAGAGAAGGCACTGTTGTCTGGGTATCCATAAGAGAAGAGGGAGGGAAGAGTTTATAGGGGACAATCTCCAACCATGGAGACTGGAGCCCAGCTGAACAAAGGTCTCATCTTCTTGTTCTTAAAAGGCCATCTCCCGTGTCTCCAGTGAAAGAACCCTGACAGCAAGGCAAAGAGGCTGGTCTCAAGGAAGGCACCCAGTGGCTACAGGTTCTAAGTTAGCAGGGAAAGCAAGTGTGAACATATGCATGTGTCATGGGTGGGGACAATTCTTCTGGTCAGAATATTCCAACAGCTCTGAGGGTGAGTTCTGGATTCCCTAGTTCCCATGTAAGTGCAGTTTGAGATTTTGTGCCTGTTTTCTCTCACTCCAAACACAGCAGACAAAGTCACCAATTCTGGCCTCCCCATCCTCAGCTTCAGGGACCTGTCCATTCTGATCCTGGCCCTCAAGGGGCCCCCTCCCTCCATCTTTCACTCTGTATCCTATCATCTGTACCTCAACTGCCTTCCCAAACATCCACCCCACACAGGCTTTAACAATCACGCAGGCTTAGAAAGGCTGGGAGAGGGATATACATTTTCCCTCAGAGGAGGAAGGAAACAGGTTGAAGAGACCAGCAACTAGTTCAAGGACCCCACGTCTTGGTCACAGAGAGACTAGGCTTCTCACTTTGCCCCCTCAGCTCCCCAGACCTCCCGCTGGTGCCTGGGCAGGAACACTGGGATCTTGTAGAAACCTGAAAGAAGCAGCTAACAGAAGAGAGAAGCAGGGATGAAGACCAACACAGGTGGGGCAGGGACCCAGATGAGGCAGAGCACAGAGGAGGCCCGGATGGAAGCTCAGAGGCAGGAAGGGGACAGAACCCAGGAGTCTGGCAACCAGGGTTCAGGGCCATAAAATGTGGTCAAGGGGCAAGCAAGCCCGGGAGGCTGAGACAAAGACGGAGGCGCAGACAGAAGGACGAGAGAACGCTGGAGCGGGAGGAACCGGGTAGCGCGATGCAGGGGGTGCATTCTCTGGGGAAGAAAGGCGGGACGCTCCGGGCTGTCTTCCCGCTTCCCCGAGCTCCCAGAGCGCTGTCTGGATGCCCCGGCCCAGGTGCCCCAGAACTCGAGGGCCTGCGGGGACCCAGAATGTGGTGGGGTCAGGCCGAGAAGGTCGGCAGCCACCGCAGCCCCACGGGCTCACCCTACCTGGCGCGCCCAGCTCTGGCACGGAGAGAATCGGAGTGGAGCAGGGGCGCAAGACTCCGGATCCCGCTCGCTGGCTCGCTCGCCGGCTCTGCGCCTGCCGCCCGCCCGCCTAGCCGCTTTCAATCGTGGCCGCCCCGCCCCCGGCCCCTCCTCCGGTCCTCCCAGCTGCGGGTCTCTCCCTCCCAGCCCAGCCTCCGCCTCCTTTCCGACCCCTGCACGGCTCTTCAAGGGCCCGGAGCTGTCCGCCGCGTGGTACTGAATCCCTGGGCGCTCCAGCTCTGCACTGGAGCAGGTGCCTCGCAGGTCCCTGCAGCCACACTGCATCCTAGAGAAGCGGCGGGAAAAGGGCACAGGACAGGGATAGGAAGGTCACTGAACCAAGAGAAGGAGCACAATGCTGTGGGTCCCGTCTGCGAGAGTGGAGGAGCTGGACCCAGGGTCTTGAGCTGACATCAGGGGGACAAGTAAAGGGGCGCGTGGGAGGTAAATGGAGTGCTGGCCTGTTGCAGAAAGTCAGTCGCTGTCTTCATCCATTCTCTACACCCAGCAACTGCAGCGCAGGCCACATATCAGGCCCCATGTGAGAGCTAGGACCTGAGTCACCGGGAGGAAAAATTGGTAGAAGAGGGAGGTCAAAGAACAGACCTCCCCCTTCCTTCCTGCAGATGACCTTTAAGGCTGCTACCCCTCCCCCACTAGTCCCTGCTCCAATGTACAAAGGACATTTATTGCCGCGATATCAACCTTTGGAGGCTTCAAGCCCAGGCACTAGGGTCTTTCCTGAAGGATCTGCTGGGTTGATGGAAATGGGGGAAGGAAGGGGACCACAGAAAGGCTCCTGGAACTGGCTGCTGCGTAGGAGGGAGTGAGCGCTGGAGCCCAAGCAGAGGGAGGACAGCTCTGAGATGCTCTTGGCTCTTCCCTCCCACAGGATGGGTAAGGACAACACTGGGCAGGGGTGGTGGATACACTGTAGAGTTAGGCCATGCTGAAGAGTTTGGGGACAGGACCTGAGCTCAGGTCTAGCCCCAGACCTGTGTTATCTGCCCCTAGACATACACAAACTAATGAATGCTAAGGGCCACAATATCCCTACATGTTCCCCTAGTGCTGCCCTTTTTTCCACAGGTGTCAGGGGAAGCAGGGTCACCTTAGATAGGCGCTGATGAAAATGCCAGGCCCAGGCCCCTCAGGCGCACACATCAGAATGTATGTGTGGCATTTGAGGGCAGGATCACAAGGACAGGCTTTTTCCCTGGACATGGAGGCTTGATGCTCCACTGCTCTCTGAAGAACACAGCTTTGAAACAAAACAGACACATCAAACCCAAACAAATACAAAACCGATCACTAATGGGAGACAAGGTAGCAGCGGGATGAGGGTTCAGAGCTGTCAGACAAAGCTGGGGAGACAGACATGCTGTCTTCCAGCTCCAGCTCTACCACCAACTGCTCTCACCCTCTGGCTGGCTCAGAGCAACCGCTCCCTGGGGTAGGTGAGCGATGGACCAGGCTTTGGAACAGTGGGGTTGACAGCAGGAGGGTGCTGAGGTGAGAAAAGCTGCACAGCAATCCCAGTCCCACACCCAGCCCACTCACCAAGACAGCTTCACAAAAGATCCCAGGCTTTATACACAGATATGGCTATACACAGCAGCAGCAACGGAAACCTTTCACACAGCCTGCAGTGATGAGCTGCACTGCCCCTCTGCAGGCACAGACACACAATGACTCACAGACATGTAGCCTCCATTCCCAGCTGGGCACACAGACAAGGACAAACACACCTGTGATCCCAGCACTTGGGAGGCCGAGGCAGGAGGAGTTCAAGGCCAGTTTGAGCTACATAGTGAGTTCAAGACCAGCCTAAACTACATAGCAAGACTCTGTCTCAAAACCCCCCCCCCAAAAAATACACCCAGCTTTAGACACATAACTGTGTATGTGGACGTGGTGACATAGTTATATAGGCAGACACAGCCATAATACCTTGCTGTGATTCTAAAAGTACATGATTCCCCTACACAGCTGTACACATGCACATAACCATGTACATACAGCTATACACATGGGCATGGCCACACAGCCATAGTGGTACCTATATATGGACACATGGCCACACATAAGCAGCTAGACATATTATGCCCCCACATTCACAGTTGTGATCATGGACACACAGCTGTACAGACCCATAGTTTTATCCATGGATACATGATAAAATATATGCCTTTACACTTGAACACATGACCATATACATAGCCACAAGGCTTCAGAGATGCCTCCAGACAGCTAGCCTCACACATCCATAGCATGCAACCTATACCATTAAAACACACAAAACACAGCAGCATATGCAATAGCCACACAGCCATCCATACATATGCAGTCATGCTCATCTACCAGCATTTTTCTGTACGTGGTACTGAGGATTAAACCCAGAGCCTATGCACTAAGCTACATCCCTGACCCTTTTAAAAAAACATTATTTTGAGACAGGGTTTTACCAAGTTGCTAAGTTGCCCAAACAGGGCCTGAACTTATAATCCTTCTGCCTCAGCCTCCCGCTGTGATATATTACAGGCAGGAGCCACCATGCCTGGTCACAATCACATCTTGATGCTCACTTGGGCACACTCACCCAGGAACACCATCAGTAGCTCCGTCTGTATTTACATGTACACACCCAGCTGTGAAGGCACTGGCCAGCACAGCAGGGTGTCCCCACCTGCTGGAGAGGTCCCAGCATGAGCACAGGCACACTTAAGCCATGGACACAAAAAGGCATCCTTGGAAGCAGACAAAGGCAAGCTGTGAGCTCTCCACTTATGAGCTCTGGAGGGTACCCTGTGCTTAGCTGTAACACTTTTTGCTCTGCTTCTCACCAGCATAGGGGAGCCCCGAAGGCCCACTGCATTGTAGGGTCGACTGGTTTTACAGAGCAGGTCCTCCAATATTCCCCTTCCCCTCACCCCAGGAATCCTTCCTTTCCTTGTCCTTAGGAGACTCCTGCCCACTCCCAGATTATCTGCACAGTGCTCCCCAATGTCAAACAAATAAACACACAACCCAAATCAAGATGAAACAAGAAAATCATTTGTTTTATTCTGGATTCTGGAAGCTCCAATGTGAGTCTGAAAAAAGATGACAGGGGTGGCAGCCCAGGGGGCTGATGCAAATAACAGTCCTTGGCTCCTTTGGCCTCAGAAGCCAAAAGGGCAATGAGGAAAAGGCCTAGCTATAGGCCTAGGGTGGGAGAAGTCAGACCCCCAGTGACCCCCACACCAGTCTGGGGAAGGAAAGGAGGAAGAGGGCTGGAGAGCTTGCTCAGTTCCTTAGGAACCGTACCACAGAAGGGTGCAGGTCACAGCATACTCCTCACCCTTCTCAGGGGTTCTGAGGTCCTGAAGTGGCCCCCAGAGGTTTGGCCTCAGGTTCCAGCTGTGGCTCTCCAAAGGGCCCCTCTCCTTCCAGGTCTAGCTCCTCAAAGGATGAGCCACTGGCGCCTGACTCGCTGTAACTGTGCTCGCTGCGGTTATCACCATCATCCCAGCCTCGGCTGCTCACCCCAGGGGACAGTGTGGTGGCTGACATCTCCCGGCTGCCAGGGCTCACCTCCAGGCTTACAGAACTTGTGTCACTCATTGTGTCAGCTCCTGTGGCCAGGACAAGGGAGCACAAGTTAGCCAGGACCACTGCACCCCACCACCACCAACATGGTCCCATCTTCCAGACAGGACAGGGACTCTACCACCACCTCAGCACCTGAGCATACATAGCCGGCTCATGAATAATATACCCACCATGGCTCAGGAGACCTATTCCAGCTGCCCTCTGCCCTGACTGGGGCTGCACTGACAGGGATGAGGGAGGGAGAATGAGAGGGAGCAGCTGGCTATGCATTCCCTTCCTTACCCTGATTTAGCCTCAGCTCCCTGCACTCCTACAAAGCCTGCTACCCCCTCTCCCAATCCATTAAGGGCTACTCAGCCCCAGGGTGAGAAGCTGAGGATAGAACAAAGAGAATGGAGTGCCCCCTCCATCCCTCATTTCAGGCTTGGAAAGAGGTTTGTCCAAGGCCAGCTACAGAACATTGCCCATAAGGCATGAGGACCCAAGAATGGACCAGGAGGCCTCTCTAGCTCCATGCAAGCTTCTCTAAAGAGCAGCTATATCCAGGAAGTCAGCTGGCCCCTGCCCCTGGCCACCATGAGTCTCCCCTTAAGGAGGGGTCTGAGGCACAAAGATAGAGAAGTCTTACCAAACATTCAACCAGTCATAAGAAAGGAGGGTTCTGGGATAAAGCATTTTAAAGACCTTCTCCCCTATGCCTGATCAACCCAGAGAAACGCTTACCCACCTCAACAACCCCCTCCCCCACCACTGCTATTTCTTACACTTAAAGGCAGCAAAAAGGGACCTGGTGGCTGAGGAGACCCAAAACAGTGCTGAGCTAGCTGATGGGCCAGGTCCCTCCCTAACCTGTTTCCTTAACCTGGTAAATTCTCTAAGCAAGCAGCCCTTCATCTTCCCTATCTAGGAGCAACTCCTCCATTCATTTCTCTGAATCAGAGGAACTGAATAGAGCTAGAAGGTAGCAAGGAAGAACAAAGAGCTCAGGCCCACAGTGTGCCACCCTTCGTGGCATATCATGCAAGGTGAGGGGTGGGCTGATTTCCCCAGCTCCTGTTTCCATGGTGATACAGCCCAAAGCCAGATATATCTAGGGATTGCTTTGCATTTGGACTGGCCTGGAGCTGTCCCTGAACCTCAGACGGGGCCTATATTGAAAATGAGATTTGGGGCCTGCTTCCCCAATCTACTTGGCCTCAAAAGATGCCCTCTTGGTCCTTACTGGCAGAGTGAGGTGAATCCTGAAAGTACCAGCCTGCTGGCCAGGGCTCTCTTGCTGGTGGGACCCCAAGCATGGCTCCTGCATTGAGGCATGCTAACAGGGTGGAGTGGGAGCCTGGGCTGAGTTCCTGGGGCAGGGCTCCAGCCCCTCACTCACTCCTTAAATGATCGGTATCCCAGAGGCTGCAGATCTAGGCACAAGGAGGGAGGCAGTTTTTCCCTGGACCCATTCTTACCAAATTCTGTCTGCCACCCACCCAATGACTCTAGAGACCTCTGCTTCCCAGCCCAATACCTCCCTCACCACTCCTGGGCTAGAAATGATCAAAGGAAGGAGCCCAGGGGTGCCTCCTTCAGCCCAGGGCTCAGCATGCTGGGAGGAAGATAGCTCCTGGGAATATACAGACACTTGTGATGAAGGAGCTAAAGGCAGGGGAGTGGCATCCCTACAACCCCACCAAAGTACACACAGGAGGAGGTCCCAGTGCCCTGAGTCTTATTCCTAAGGAGAGGATACTATGCAGGAAGCACCTAAATCCCCAGGGCTGCTGGCCAGGGGATGTGAAGCTACCACTTTCACCCCAGTTCCTCCCCCTCTGCCCACAGCCAGTGCAAGGAGATCAAATATTCATCGCCTCTCTGGAGCTAAATAATACATCAATGTAATAACAGGCACAAGGCAGTTAATCACCCCCTTTCACCTTCTAGCCCAAGCCACAGCCCAGCAGGGAGGCAGGCAGGGACAGGCCAAGCCTTGGGTGGCCATGCACCCATCACGCACTGCTAAGTGGCATGCACCTGGCAGCAGATGCTCAGAGTCCACCACCGGGTGTCAGGACAGGCCCTGTCAGCAGTGGGAAGACCTTCAGCCCCCGCACTATGGAGTGGGTGGGCAGGCTAGTAGGGAGGACAGGCCGAGGAGCTGGAGGGTGTGGGAGCTGCAGCTGCAGCCAGCTCTAGCAGGTGCCAGGCAGTCCTTCAACACTCCTAGCAGGCTGTATTTGGGAGGGAAGGAAACAGTGGGTGGGTCAAAGAGAGGGTAGGCAGACAGCAGAGAGAGGTCACAGGAAGGTCAAGGTACTCCTCCTTCCTGCCCTGGGGGCTCCCTGGGTCTGCTGACCTTGTGTCATGTCCTGTGCCCACAGCAGGAGCACTGAAGAGTGTCTGCCGGGCAATACTAGGCAGAAGAGAGCAGTACCCCATGGAGGTAATTAAAGTAGCAGATGAAGTTAACTCTATTGGACACAAGCCCCAAGGGAGTGGAGACTGCCTCCCAGTACCCTTCCCCCACTAGCCCCTGCCAACACACGTCTCTTTAGGGTGACCTCGGCTGCTGAAGACTGGGATGGCAGAAAGTCTCCCAGAGAAGGAGAGGAAAAGGGACAGTTCTTCCCCTCACAGCTCTCTGTACCACTCTTAGAAATCATGTACTTCCAGAGTCACAAAAGTTCCATGCAGGGCAGCAAAGGATTCGTCCCCCTGCAACCACTTGTGCATGTTACCAGCTGGCCCCTCTGCCTCTACCTGGGGTCACAAGACTTTATGGCTGGAGGTGGGCTAGGAGAAGGTAAGTAGCCTCCCGGCCTAGACCTGGGGCATTGTGGCTGTCAGCAGGCTGTCCTTGTTGGCAGAGGTAGGGAAAAAGCAGTCTGCACTGGTGGGGCTCCCATAGTGAGGGACAGAACACTTTGTTTCTCTCCTTATCTTCCAGATCCAGTGCCAGTATTACTTCCTGATGAGCTCCACCCAAGTGAATCCTTTCTTGAGTAGCTTCAGCCCCCTCCCATGAGCATCCAACTGGCTGTGATCTGGGTTTCCAAGGGTACTCCTGATACATCTGGCAGGAATCCAAATGCGGGCTTTATGTATCAGTGTTGCCAAGGGGAATATGTGTGAAACCATACCTGTATGGAACCACGTGTCTGAGAACAGACAACTCTGCATGTGTGTCTTGAGATAGAATGTCTCCTTCCTCCTTCTGCCGAGTATGCCTGACACCCACAGTGTCAACACATACAGAGAAGCCTCCTCAACCATGTCCTTGGATATCCAGAAGAGGGCCCTACCCTCATGACCCCATTCTATACCTGTATCATCCACTTGGGTATCGTTGGCCTCCACAAGACCCCGGCATTTCCGTTCTGTCTCCTTCACTTCCGGCACATAGAAGTCTCCCTGCCGTGCCAGTGGGCACATGAAATGGATCTGGTCTTGCTGGTAGATCTCTAGCCGAGGGTGGGCACACAGCTTCCGCTCCTAGCCAGAGTTAGAAAAAGTGGAATAAGCCCTACAGGGCCCCCAACCCACTTGTCCCTGGGTGGCTCCAGGAACTTTCTATTGTCTGTTCTTTACCAAGGGGCTGGCTGTGCCTCTTGCCCTAGTCTCTTCCAAATTTAAAACCCCTACTGAAGGAGGCACCTGCAGCTCCCTCCAAGAACAGGGCCCTGTACTCTAGGGTATAGTGGTCTAAGACCCAGGAATCCTTAACAACACTTTAGGACAGTGGCTAAAAGAGCCCAAGAGTCTAGGACTGCTAATTCTACATGTATGTCTGGGACTAAAAAGCTGGTCTCACAGAGCTATGAAGCTTAGCACATCTAGACCATCCAGGACAGGGATTCCATGAACCCCTAAGCCACCCAAGGCAAGGTCTAACCTGTTAGACTTTCCAGCCCCAAATTGCCTCCTGGCCCTGACATCTTTACCCTGGACAATGCTGACTAAACCAGAAATATTAGTTGAGGCCAGTACCTCTAATCCTGGGGCCTCCAGCCTCTGCAAGCAGACACATTACCATAGACCTGCTTCTGCTCCCATTCCCCTGCTAGATCTATGTCCCTTGCTAAGACTATGTCAACCTCTGAGGCTATCAAATGTGGTTCCCATACCTCCTTCTGGGCTCAGGGGTAGATGCGGGGGAGGCTGAGCTGGAGGGGCAGGCATGACATGTGGGTCTTCCCATTGGGCTAAAATACCAGCTTTTGGGGCCCCAAATTCTGAAGGCATTTCATTCCCCTCTGCCTGGACACAGGTCCCAATGTTCCCCGTCCCCCAGTGTGTGGAAGTGGGCAGACACACACCAGAGCTGCCCTAAGGCAGGCAGGAACAATGAGAACAAGGGTCAAGTGTTTCTTGCTCCAGAGCCTACCCACCTTTCCTGTGATAGAGCGCAATTACCTACCAAGATGACTGTGCGGCCCCTGCCCTGTCACTGCTCACCCGCCAACCTTCACAACATGGCTATTTATAGCACCCGCCTGCTCTCACCACAAGCTCTGAAATGAGCCTTCCACTTAACGGTAATGAGAGACTTATTGCCTGGCTCAGAGAAGCCACTCCAGGACTCCACTTGTCTGCCAGCCTGGCCAAGTGGAGGGTTGAAGAACCTCTTCCAATTAATGTCAGGGAAGAGGGTAATATAAATGAATCTAGTGAGGGACAAGAAAAAGAGGAAGAAACCTGAAAGGCAAATCAAGCTAAAACCCTCAGTGCCAGCTAGAGGGAGGATACACCCAGGAAGCCATCCATATAGCCCGGCCCAGGGCAGCTGCAGCTCAGCCTCCAACTCTACGAGTGACCCAGGAAAAGGCTTGCATCCTAAGTCTCCATGTGTTCAGTCGCAGAGGGAAACACCCTAGACCCAGTGCTTCCAAAGTCAGTGAAGGAAAGTCATTAGTTTTCATAGTTGGAGTCCATTTCTACCAACCTGGTTGCTCTACCCACGCCCCCTCAGTTCATGAGTCCATGCCCCAATTCCCGCTATCTCTAAACTCACTTTGACTGTTTTTGATGGCTGCATTGCTTCTCCACCCACACATATGCCCACCACAGGCCTAGTTCCTTGGGAGACTTACAAAAACAATACCAGGAAGCAGGAGTTACCAGGCTCTGGGGCCCTCCAATGACAGCACTTAGGGGTGGGCATCTGTCAACCCTGAGCCTTACTCAGTAAAGTGGGTCAGGTTACCAAGGCCAAGGTCAAAGAAGCTCTCTGAAGAAGGCCCTGACCTCCTCTAGTAGTTAGAGGGAAGGAAAGGGTTCCCAAATCCAGTAAGGGTATGGCCTTCACCAGCATCCTCATGATCTGGGCATCTAAAGGATGTAAAGTACAGCAGCTGAGTGATCATCAGCCATCTTAAGAGCTACTGGCAGCTGGCTTTTGGGGATTGTCTCAGAGATTAAAGCCTGCGCCCATCCAGAGATTCCAGGGACAATAGAGACCCTACTCCAGTGCCACCAACACTCAGGCCACTTCCATTCTGGAGGAGCTTTACAGTAATAGAGATGCTAAGAGGAGGTAGTGCTCTTTCCACCCTCTCTTCTAGGCTGGGCATTAGGGTGGGCAGCATCAGGCATACACCCTGTGCCACCTGCTCTGCCAGCCCCCTTGTTGGCAGGCAGGAGGCAGCTCTGCGGCTGCTCTGCACATCTGCCTCCTCCAGAGAGCCCAGCTCTGAAGCTGCTTAGCTATGGACAGCCCTGTTGCCATGGAAACTTCATCTTCCATCCTTGCCATCGCCTTCATCTCAAAGCCATCGGGGAGAACAGAGGAACAGGGGTTACACAGGATGAAGAGAAAACTGTGACCTGACTACAGGACTCTTCCTGCTCTGTGCATCCCTGCTTCCCTGCCAGCCTCCTGGGAAGACGAAGCAACTGCCCAGATCTGCCTCAGACCCAAACCCAGCCTGGTCCCAGCCCTGCCACCTGAGAACCCCTGGCCCTCCCTATTGGGGGGGAAGCTCAACGCTAATTAAAATCCCATTGACTGCTCAACCCCAAATCATTATAACACATGCCAGATCCTGTCAAAATGGAGACTCTGGGGCAGAGGAGAAGGGGAATGAGGAAGGCACAGAGTTGAACAACCAATCTGTCCATAGGGAAGTAAAGTGGCTTACAGTTGCTCTTGCAGGCCCTCCTGGGAGACTCCTCTTCCCTCCATGCTCTGCTCACTGAGCAGGAATGTGTCTAATGGGGGCTGGAGATGGAAAACAAGGGGTCAGGCCTGACCATATGCCCTGTCCCTGAGAGATCAGGCAGAGAGGACGAGCCCTTTCCCTCCCAGACAGGTGCATCCTATGGGGGAAGAAAGGGAGGCTTTCAGGTCCTCACTGCACAACAGGAGCTACAGCCCAGGCAATGTGTCAATGAGCCGCTAAGTATGGGAAAATCATTGGAGGAAGGCAAGGCCAGATGCCTCTTCCTCAGCTAGCCCCAGGAAGCCCTTGGAGAGTAGACTCCAATGGCCAAGGACACCAGCTCAATGCTACACTGGGCTGGTCCTGCTGAATAAAGGAGCCTGGATAGGCCTTTAGTATTGCCAGCCCTGACACACTCTCTTGTACCACCCAGACAGCCAGATGCATATGAAAGCATTGCCAAGTCAGGGAAGCCACTGCCCACTTGACAAACCCACCATCCAGGGTGCAGTCATGCACATGACTCACATGGACCATTAGGCCCTCTCTGAGGGGGAGAGATGCAATGCCTCCCTTGGAAAGTCTCTGAACTCAGAGAGGGAGGAAGGAGGAGACATGACCTCAACTATCATCATTTTGTGTTTTGCTCTCAGAACATCAGCCTTCCCCTAGCTTCAGCTAAAGGTATAGAGTGGGTGAAAGACAGAAGAGGTGAGGCCCACACTGGAGGCTAAGAGTAGATTCCACTCCCAGGCTGCCCAAGGGCTGGATTTTCTCAGAGGTAGATGGCAAGTGCCCAAAAGGAAGACATGGGTGTGGGCCAAGGATGGGCATACATCTCCTACACAGGCTCTTGGCCCAGAAAAGGATGAGGTCTGCCTGATGCATCCCTACCCCATCATAGTCCTTTACCTCTTGTCTCATGGGGATGAAAGGCCCTAGGCCTTCTTTACTCACCCTTTGCTGCCCAGGCCTACCCACCCCTCTGTGCCAGGCTGGAGAGCCAAGCAGCCACACAACCACCAAGAAGCTGTTGCAACCCACCCAAGGTGTTGGCATCTCACTGGGTGAAGTGATGCATGCTCATTTTTAACTATACAGACACCAATGTGTACCCGCCTGCACCCGGCAGTTCCTGAACTGGGGGCTCAGACCCTGGAAGCCCCACAGGCAGCTGGTTGGCATCACATGTGAAAAGTGCTGGAGGGGTGGAGCATAGCAGAGAGGCTGTGGATTGAATGTAGCAAGTTGTTATTATTCTACCCAGGAACTTCCTTCCCTCTCTTTGGCTCCCTCTCATTTCCACCAGGACTCCCAAGTGCTTCCTGGCGGGGAACATAAACCTGTCTGTGGTATGTTGGGGGTAGGTGTGGGGGGTTACTCCAATGCCCGCAAAAGGGTTAATGAGTGCCCTCCCCTGCTCCTTTCTCTAGTAACACGAAGAGCCAAAGCTCTGAAAATGACAGGAAAAAGAGACAAGGAGTGAGAAAGACTGCCAGGGAGGGGACAGAGGGGACAGGAAATGTCAAAGAGAGCCCCACACAGAAGCGTGGGGCCTTGGCTTAGGTATTGACAAATGAGTGGCTTCCCCCATGCCTCAATTTTCCCAATAAAAGAAGAAGAAAGGATAATCTGGGAACTGGAAAGGATGGCTACAAATACCATTATTTAAGAACAAGACAACTGTATACTTGGAAAAATCAGAATTGATGATGGAACTACCATAAACATTAAGTCACTATTAACTAAAGCACAGCACATATTTTCTGTGCAACAGTCAGAAAATTAGAAACTGTAATAGAAGTAAGAGATCAAGGGTCAGATCTACCCCAGGACTAGTCTAGAAGCCCCCTAAGTGGCAAGGGATGGCAAAAGAGCCAGGCAGGCAGAGCTAGACCTGGGCAAGAGCTTGGGGAAGACTGCACAAGGGGAAGTGTGAGCGAACAGGGTGGGGAGGTGAGATGCTGTGCCTGGCACCCCAGCCTGTTGTGCCTATTGCTGCTGTTGCCTGAAGACTTTTCATTTTCACCTCAGAGCCGGCAGCTCGCCATACAATTTACACCTCTGCTCATCTCCCTGGCGCTACTCGGGCCCTGGATTCCTGGGCAGCTCATGTCAGGGTCCTTGGCAGCAGTGAAGTATCAGGACAGACTGAGACACTGAGGAGCAAAGAGAGGATGATTCCCTCTGAGTAGGCACATGGAACACAGGATCCTAGTGCCCAGGCAAAATAGGAAACCCCGGCCCTGTACCCATGCCCAGGCTTTCCTTTTCCCAGGGCCCAGAGACCTGGGGAGCATAGGTATGAGTAGCCCATGAGGAGCTCAGCCAGAG